AGAAGGTAGTGTTCAATCTGCGATTGGGTTAGCTCAAATTAGGGTTTCTGCTATTTGGATAGAAGAGTGATTCTTGGCGAGAAAGCAATGCTAACCACTTACTAGGTATAGATCGTATTGAGGAACGGAAATTTGATATGGAACCTTCGTAACGTCACCTTTCCAGAGAAACCACAACTGTGATCTGCAACCTTCTTTATCCACGGGAAACTGCTTCCAAAATCGGCTCTGCGAAACTGAAAAAACAGTTTCTGATTGCAGGAAACAGAGATCTAGGGCAACCTTTAATCGTGAGTTAAAGGCTTCGTCTTACCTCGGAATTGAGATCGGAAAAGTTTTACAGAAACTAGAAAGAGAGATCTATCCAACAGTATGAGACTCGTCGCGTGAATCTTCACGGTTCGCCGGGAAAAAGGCCTGCAAGATCACTGCTTCCGCTAGCTTTCGTGTTGCTTCTTCTCCCTTGGTGTTTTCGGTCACCGGAGCACAGGTCTGCGCCTTGCAGTGGCTGTGGAGGCTGGTTCACGTCGGGAAATGATCAAAGCTTCGCTACGATGGTCGTTTTTTTCCTCTCCCACTCCTCGTTGTCTCCTTTAAATAGGTGAAGTGGTTCATAGGGTCAGGGTTTTAGGAAGAACAAAACTAGGGCTTCGAAATGGGCTTTAGGGTTTCGGGCTAGATTGGGTTTGGGCCGTGACATGACTCGTCATGACTCTCGGGTTTGGCTCTGTATCATCTCTCTCTTGTACGGAGTAATCGAGGGAAGCTTGTTAAGCGCGGAGCTGTTTCGGTGCTTTTAAACATGGCGAGATTAGTTAGGTCAATTATTTAAGAGGATTTCAATTATTTTGCATCACCATAATAGTGGTGTTAAAATGGGCTGAAATCCACCATAGGACAGTATACAGTTAAAATTTTAGATTAATCATAAACAGATTTTGCGGACCAATAAATTGCAGATCATAGCAATCTACTACAAAACATGTACTAGTCATAGACACATAAACTAAACATTTCATAGTTCAAATAGACGATTTAGAATTTCCGCATGAAGTGAAGTGATAATGTCTCGAGTTTGGTTGACAAAGCATATAGGGGAACATAACTCGGTTTGTTGCACGTAAGTGGAAAAGCCTCAGTTNGGGAGTGTCTGGTCGATGAATGAGAAGAACTTGAAGCTTATGAGAATTTTGAAGCAAAGACACCAACGGCTCAAACCAATCTAACTCATAAATACGTAATTTTGGCGTAAAAAAATACAACCTCCAATGTGTTAGAACACAACAACACATAATTAAGTAAAACGCTAGAAATGCGATAATAACAATATTTCTTTCTTATAAAAGAAAAAATGTGAGGTTGAAATTACCGTTGCAACGCTCGCTGAGACCTATCTTGAGATACCTGACCGATGAAATTCTCATTAATTTGTCATCAGGGTAACTATAATAGTGGATAATTACTACTTCCATCCATTTTTCTTGTTCCTCCTCTTGTATTTGTAGAGCACATGTGGACGTAGAGCTTCAAATCTATCAAGGAGTCGGTCTGAATCTAAATGCAGTTTCAATCGTGGCAAGTGGCAACATTTATCTTCAAGCTTGCTTTGAGGATGACGTTTTGCTATGTTTCTTGAAACTACTTAGGATCTGTGGTGGAATCCACAAGCGATCATGAGAATTTATCGAAACTGGCAAAACGGACCGGTATGAGCTCGAGCAGAAGTTTTTATTGCCAAAGTAATACCATAAATTCTTTTGAGTTTCTTGTATCACAAGCAATCAAATTTGTAATATTTCTTACCAAGAAGAAAGACTATTCTGCAAGACTTGAGGAGCTCAAAATGTTGTTCTGATTATAGATGCATATAACGATGATCGATTTTACCTTGTACTTGCAGCATTAACATAGAGAAATTGTTTGGATTTTGGACTTTGTCATATTTCAGTTTATCTCCTCACTTTTCATGCTTCAACACCACCTTATTGCACATATCTTTCTTTTCTTTCTCCAAATTATTAGCAGCCCTAAATTTGTTGTATATTCAACTTTTGTGTTTTTTTCCTTTTCTTTCTCAAGCTCGTGAGTAACAAGCTAGCGCTCAGTCTCTTCTTTTTCTTTGACAAACTCTTCTGTGATTTCCGTGAGTTTTGTTTGTAGCCTCATCTTCTATTTAACAAGTTTCTGATAGACATTGGTCATCTCATCTATTTCTGATTGAAGAATAGTATAAACTAATTCCTTTTCTGCACACAATTCCTCTTCTAGCTTATTATGCAAAGGCATTCTCTTGTCTTGTCTTCCTTTTCCATCTATTCCTATGTTAAGCGTTGATTCTCAAAGGCAAACAATTGGCTTGTTTGTTTGTAAAGACTAAAAAGTAGATGAAAAATATTGGTACCAGTGTTTTAAAATACGCTATACGCTACTCGGACGGCGGACTACCGTATAGTGTATAGATGTATACGTGGATTTTTATGCGAGATATATACGATGGATATTTTCTTGATAAATATATCAAAAACCATAAATAAAAATTAAATGATTAACATTGAGATAGTAGTTTTAACTCGGATAGTAAAATGACATATATAAAAAGTTCTTTCAAGTAAGAAAAATAATAATTTTATCCATATTTTAATGAGATGAAAAAAATTACATTCATATTGTGTATATAATTTAGTCAAATAATGTAAGTTTAACTAGTTTTGGAAAAAAAAAAGACTGAAAACATTGTTTTATTTGAAAAATATGACCCAAAACCTATATGTTCCGTCATTTAACTGCCGCATAATTTTTTTCCAATTAAAAATACGTATAGCATAACTACGGTACGACAAATCACTAAATAGCGCATGGATGCCGTATAAACAGGTGTCTGCACCGTATTTTAAAACATTAATTGGTACTGATGCAATGAATCAAAGTCTTGTTTTATTTTCTTGAAACAAAAACAAAAACAAAAGGTTGAATGGACATATTATCATCACATACACAAGAGTGTGTTGTCTTCACTAGAGAGTGAATTTCTTTGCATAGATATCGAACAGTTCAGAAGCAGTCAGTTGAGGATCCTGTTTATATCCCCCAGGACCAAGACGCTTGCTTATCCTTGTCAGCATAGGACCAATACCCTTAACAGGGGGGTTCTTTAATGTGGTACGGATCGAATTCATAATGTTTCCATAGGTTATGCCTTGTGCGCCGCTGCGTTCTATCGCTTGAATAAAGCAGAAAGTCATAGCACCTGTAGAGGTGATCCTTGACAGCAATCCTGTGTCATCGGAAAGCTGATCATCATCACATCCACTGATTGATATGGCTTCTCCTCCAGCTGTTCCCTTCCACTCACCTGACTTTGGCTTATGATTCTCCCACACATACTGCCCGGCTGTGTTCATTCTGCATAGGTATGGTAAATCCATCACTGTACCACTATGGCAAGCATCGATGACCGAATGGAGCTTGACACCATGTGGAAGAGGGCGAACAATAGTTGCGTTTATCTCATCATCTAAAATGTCCCCTTCAGTTACAAAATCCAGAGGGCACAGTGTTTCATTTTTGCTATCAACTTCATCACCGTTGTACTCTCTTTGCTGCGAACCATGACCCGAGAAGTAAAAGAAAAGTGAGTCGCCTGTAGTACATCCTTCCTTCACAAGCCAATACAAAGCCATCCTTATGTTTTGCTTGGTAGGGATATGCAGCGGATGAGGTTCTTCCTCTGTATCAACATCAACAGTTATGGATTATGAGTGAGCTGCAAGACAAAGAAAAAGAAAATGAGAGATAGAAATACCGGTGAGCATGATAATGGAATCAGGAGGGAATTTGAGGTTGTTAATGAGAAGCTGACGCATGCATTTGGCGTCTTTGAGGCAGCTTTTGAGCACGGAGCGAGAGTTAAAGTACGAAACACCACAGATCACGGCCCTCTTCTTGCCATGTGGGTGAGGTAGCTTACCGGAAGGAGGAGCTTGGATGCGAGTAGAGGGGGCGATATGAGTAACGGTCTTGCAGAGAGCGCAGCGAATGGATCGAATGCCGGACGGGAGCTGGAGAGGCATCTTGCAACCGGAGCAATTCACCAACATCCGAGGAGCGGAGAGCTTATTCTTTGAAGGATTCATATCACCAAAGAAGAGTGTTTTGGGTTCGACTCTGTTATTACGACTCGTCGTATAAATAATGAGAAAGTTGGTAACCAAAATATAATAAAATAAAAACAGAATCGACTTATTCGGTTTTTGTTAATTGCCTCTCACACATTTTACATATGATATAGTATAGTAGTATATGTTTTATATTATCGAGTAGACCATTTTGCACTGAAAGAATAAAGGAGTGAATCTAACTCTTTCGGTGATAGAGGAAATGATTCTTCAATGAGTAACATTAAAGTTGATATACAATTTTGCATCTCCATAAAAATCATAGTAGAGTAATCGGTGACAAAACGTGTACTAGTCATCGAGACATAAATTAAACCATATCATCAAGAAATATCATTTTTGAAAAATACCACTATCATATAACTCTTGTAAAAATACCATGAACTGCAAACAATGGTATACAATGGTATTTCAAAACCATGATACGTTTCAGAGAGGCACAATAAGAGTTGAGAGAATTTCTGTATGTTCATTATGAGGTTTGTACGTACAAGCTTTTGTATGCGAAGGAGCAATGACCTACTTTCCTAAACAGAGAGATCTCTAAGAACTATGAAAGGAAATACAAGTTAATGTGAACTACATAATCAACGGGATTGATATCCCGAATAATGGAGGAATTAATTCTCCATTGAAAAAATGAATTCTTTGAGTGATGAAAGAATTTGATTCACCGTCCATTTTTGAGAAGAATTCTTTTTTTTTCACCAAATATTCTACATATCCACTTCTCACTATACGTGCATATTTTAGGAAAGTGAGTGGGATTACTAAAATATTAATCAAAATCCAACCGTTGATCACAAAATTAACAAATGGTGTCAAAAACATAATACTTCGGCCAAACATTTAGGTTAATTTCTAAATATCTTCATGTCAATCAAATAGACAATTGTACCCTCAGAATTCGACTTTCTTCGGACCCGGACAAAGGTTTGGTTAGTAAACTAGCATTTTGTCAAAATGGGTTTTAAACACACTTATTAAAGTTTCTGATTTGAACGTTCTTCGAATCTTAGCTACAATTTTTTTCTTTAAAACATGATGAGTGCAACTAAAATATATGCAAACAAAGACAATTATTTGCATCACCATAAATAGAGGTGTTAAAATGGGCTGAAATCGATGGGTCGAATTTAATCCATTCCACACCATAGGACAATATAAGCTTAATTAAAATTTTAGATTCATTACAAAACGGATTTGCGGTCCAACCTATGACAAATTTGCAGATAATGAAAATCTATGACAAAACAAGTAGTAGCCAGAAACACTAAGCATTTCATAGACGATTAATTCCGCTTGAATTGATATAAACATTTACGGAATATTTTTAACGCTAGATTAAAGATATGTCTTTGCATTCGGAATCGGATACTCAGTTGGGGTTTAGATCGGGTATCTTGGTACCAGAAGACATAATTTTAGGTATTGTTCATGTATTTTTGAATTTCGGTTTGGTATCCTCTTAATTTGGGTGGTTAACTGATCGGAGAACCAAATTTTTTTTTTTGTTGTGGTTCGATTATTTTTGTTCGTATATATTCAAAAGCATCTGAAATACCCGAACTAATTCGAACTAATCCAGAATAAACATGAAAACATGATTCTAAGTACAATTCATAAAACCATTCCAATACATAAAAACAAAGTTAAACTGTCAATATTCTCTAGATATATTAACAAAAAAAAAGGTTTTAATGTTAAACTTTGACAGATTTCTTGCTATAATGGATTTTATAAGGAAACATATTTGACCAAAGCATTTATAGAATTATTCGTTTCTTTGGAAACTACAATCTGAATTTGATAGCCAAATCATTACCATCAAAACATAACTTTCATATTTGAATAACA